AGGGGCGCCTGGGTGGCTCAGTCGTTAAGTGTCTGCCTTTGGCTCAGGTCATGATCCCAGGGTCCTGGGATTGAGCCCCGCATCAGGCTCCCTGCTCCGCGGGATGCCTGCTTCTCCCTCTCCCACTCCCCCTGCTTGTGTTCCTTCTCTCGCTGTGTCTTTCTCTGTGAAAGAAGAAAGAAGAAAAGAAAGAAAGAAAGACTGTAAAATTGAGTCCCACCTTGGACATCAGACTTTCAGGGATGCCGCTGTTGATCAACCTATTTTAAAGTTAATCAATCCCCCAAATGCGGATGCCGACACCTCAGATTCTGTGCTTCTGTGAACTGCTGGATCCAACACCTGTATGTACCTGGAGAGTGAGGGTCTTCTGTTTTTCCCTTCACACGGCAAAGACCCTCACAGCTGGCCAAGGCCAGAGATGCCTTGGTTCAGACGCCTCTGCCCTTGGTTCATTTTACCCTGGACAAAGTCTACATTTTGAGAAATCTGAGCCGGGAGAGGGGGCACAATCGATCGTTCTCCGGACTGCACCAGCTGCACAACCGCCAGGAAAGGATTGGCAGGGGTTTGCGTCCTCCTGGAATATAATATAGACAGCACCACTCTTGGTGGCTCTCAATTAGGTCCTCTAGTCACAGCAGGCATCTGAACCCGGAAAGGAACTGGGGAGAGAGGTGTCAACTTCTTCCATTAGCTGATTTTCTCAGAGATTCCCTAGCACTCTGAGCAATAAATGGGCCAAGCATTGATGATGCAGATCTTTATGTGGGTGCTTGGAACTGAGAATCCTTTTTGAGGTTGGGGAAAATAGTATGGGTGGTGGCCAATGAGCCCAGGAAAAAGGCCAGCGTGGAGCTCCAAACCAAGACTGGGAGAGAGCTTTGTGGTCTACCAAGTGAGCTAGCCAGGCACTGGGAACTTTTCTGTGGTTCTTTAAGTCAAGGAGGAGCCTCAGCTTCACTCTCTCTAGAAAAGCAAAGTCCCAGAGTCAGACTCAAATCTGTTGCTTAGCCCTCAGCAAAGCCTAACTAGGGACCAATTGTGTTTATGACTGCTGAGAACACCCACCCTTTGTGGACCCCAACATTGAGTGTCTGGGCCCCTGCTTGCTGTGTTTTTCATTCCAGGACAGTCTATGAAACAAAGAGAAACGCTCTCCTAGGCCAAGCCCTGGTTCCATCTACCCAAGTTTAAAAGCAAGACCTTAGGGGACCCTGGCTGGCTCAGTCCAGGGAGCATGTGACTCTTGATCTCAGGGTTATGAGTTCCAGCCCCATGTTGGGGTGTAGAGATTGCTAAAATAAATAAATAAATAAAATTTTAAAAAATAAAAGTCTTAAAAAATACATAAAAGCAAGATTTCAAAAGATAAAGCCATTTCTAAGGAATCTAACCACATCCTAGAAAAATGCTCAAGAACATGTATAGGAATACAAAAATGTCCAGCACCCAACAAAGTAAGATTATAAACATCTGGCATTCAATGAAAAATTAGCATACATGAAAAGAAGCAAGAAAATATACCCATAGTCAGGAGAAAATAGTCACTACTCAGAAATGAAGCAGATGATAGAATTAGTAGACAAGGCTATTAATACATTTCTATATCCAAGAAGCTAGAGAAAACATTGAATATGTTAAGTAGAGATGTGGAAGAAATAAACAAAAAAATAGCCATATTAACCTCTATAAATAAACTATAATATTTGAGGTAAAAAGTACACTGGATGAAATTAGTGGCAGATTAGACATGGTAAAAGAAAAGATTAGTGAACTTGAAGGCATAGCAATAGAAATTATTTTTTTAAGATTTTATTTTATTTATTTATTTGAGAGAGAGAGAGAGAGAATGAGAGACAGAGAACACGAGAGGGAAGAGGGTCAGAGGGAGAAGCAGACCCCCTGCTGAGCAGGGAGCCCGATGTGGGACTCAATCCCGGGACTCCAGGATCATGACCCGAGCCAAAGGCAGTTGCTTAACCAACTGAGCCACCCAGGCGCCCCGAGCAATAGAAATTATTAAAATAAAATCCACAGAGAGGAAAGATTGGAAACAAAACATCAGTGGGCTGTGGGACAATTTCAAGTGGCCTGATGTGCATAATTGGACTACATTTAAATGGGATAGAGAGAAAAATATTTGAAAAAATAATAACAAACATTTCCAAATTTGACTAAAACCATAAATCCACAGACACACACACCCCCAAAAAACTGAACAAACCTCAGGCACAAGAAATATAAAGGGAACTACACCAAGGCATATCACAATCAAATTGCTTAAAGTGAGTGGTAAAGAGAAAAATCTTAAAAGCAGTGAGAGAAATGAGATACATTATTTACAGAGGAACAATGGTAAGAATAAAAGCAGATTTCTCCTCAGAAATAATGTAAGCTAGGAGACAGAGGAGCAGAATCTTTAAAGTTCTGACATTTCACAAAAAAAAACCCCATCAATCTAGAATGTTTACATGTAAAAATCAATGTACATTTAATGACTAAAATCCTGACTGAGCTCAGTCAGGATTTGGACCCAGGATCTCTATTCCCCACAACCAGAGAGAGAGAGACTGAGACAGAGAGCAGGGGGAGGAGCAGAGAGGGAGGGAGAGAGAGGGAAACAATCTCCAGCAGAGACCCTGCAGAGCACAGAGCCAGAGGCAGGGCTCCATCCCAGGACCCTGAGATCACCACCCAAGCAAAGCAAGAGTCTGACACTCAAGACCGAGCCACCCAAGTGCCCCCAAACATATTGTTTTATACCATTAAGTTTGGCAGTGTTACCCAGCAACAATTACTATCAAGTGGTAACTATTAAAATAAAAGGCAGCATAATAAAAAATTTTTTAATTAAAAAAATTAACAATAAAAAAATTTAAAAAATTAACACAACATAATAAAAATTTTTTAAAAATTAACACAACATAATAAAAAATTTTTTTAAGATTTTATTTATTTATTTGAGAGAGAGAGAACACATGAAGGGGGGAGGGTCAGAGGGAGAAGCAGACTCCCTGCTGAGCAGGGAGCCTGATGCGGGACTCGATCCCAGGACTCCAGGACCATGACCCGAGCCAAAGGCAGTTGCTTAACCAACTGAGCCACCCAGGCACCCACATAATAAAAATTTTTTTAAAATTAACACAACATAATAAAAAATTTAAAAAATAACACAACATAATAAAAAATTTAAAAATTAACACAACATAAAAAATGTTTTAAATTAACACAACATAATAAAAAAATAAAAGGTAGCAAACATATTTAATAGAATTTTGAAAACTTCTCTGGGCAAACTCTGGAACAAAACCAGAATGCCTTCTATCACATTTCTATTTTATTGGAGGTTCTAGTTAGTGCAATAAGATAAGTAATTAAAAGGTATAGCTAAGGATGGGAAGTAATTAAGTAATACTGCCATTATTCACAGATGACATGCCTGAATATATAGAAAATTCTATAGATTAGAATTAATATGTGAGTTTCACAATGTCACTGAATCCAAGATTAGTACATAAAAACTGATTGTATTTTCATATATCTGCAAAAATTAGAAAAGTATATCCAAAGTGATATAATTTACCATAGTATCAACAACATCAAATACCTAGCAAAAATTCTAATGAAAGATGTACAAAACCTATCTCAGAAAAATATAAAACACTATTATAAGTTAAAGAAGACCTTAATAAAGAAGAAATACATCATGTTTATGACTTGAAAGCCTCAATATTGTAATGATGTCAAATCACCCAGAACTGATCTACAGAATCAATGCTGTATCAATCAAAATCCCAATCACTATTTTTGTGTAAATTGACAAGCTGATTCTCACACTTACAAGACAGTGCCAAGGGTCAATAATAACCAAAATAAATTTGAGAGATTAACACTCCTGGATATCAAGACTTACCCACAAAGCTAAACTGGTTTGGGCATAAGGGTAACATGGAACAAAGCAGTGAAGTATTAAAACAACATATACTGAGACTCTTGATTTGTGAAAAAGTTTGCACTACAGATCAGTGGCAGAAAAGACCATCTTTTAAATAAATCCTTCTGAATCAGAACTGTCCCCGTTTAACAGTTGGTGAAAGTAAGGTTGCATGGCTAAGCGTCTTGTCCAGAGCCCAGAATCCGGGCTGGGAGGATGCCACACCCCCCTCCTCCCCCGTGCTGTGGTCCCTGAACCGGAAGGAACAATCCTGAGCTCAGTCAGGATTTGGACCCAGGATCTCTATCCCCCACAACCAGAGTCATGCCTCTGGCTCAGCGCGGTCCATTATTGCAGGCCACAAATACGAGCCGCATCTTCCAATTAAAATTTTCTAGTAGCACATTAAAAAATAATAACAATAAGTAAAAAGAAACAGGTAAAATTAATGGTAATAATATATTTTATATAACCCAGTATATCCAAAATATCATTTCAACACGTAGTAAGATAGCTTACTTTTCTGGGAACGCGTCTTCAAAACCCGACGTGCATTTTACACTTAGAGCAGCACATCTCAGTCGGGAGGGCGGGAGGAAACGTGTCTGCGCGGGGAACGCCGTAGGGGTCACAGAGTGGAGAGGAGCTGGGCGCGGGCTGGGATGCTCCTGCGGCATACGCAGGCGGGCTGAGTGCGAAGTTGATTGTGGCTCCTCCGTACCCGAAGGGGCCGGCCTGTACCCCGAAGCCCCACCGCTCCCCCAAAACAGCCCGTACGCAGCAAGCGGTCTGTCCCTTTCTGGTCCCCGGGTTGGGCCCGAAGCGGAGCGCAATACGCCAGGTGGGATGAGAGCCCATCCTGAACTCGATGTTCCCGTGTAAAATAAGACTAGAGAGCCGGGACGCATGCCTTGGGCTCGTCCGGGATTTGAACCCGGGACCTCTCGCACCCGAAGCGAGAATCATACCCCTAGACCAACGAGCCTCGCACACAACAGCACCTTCTAACGCTTCCCCCACAACTGTTTGTATCGCGCGTGGCCCCGGTTCATTCCCGGATAGGCTGAGCCGCTCCTGGAAACCAGGCGTGGGGCTGAGCGCTGGGGTGACCGTGGGAAGACCCTGTGGACCTAGGTGGGCAGAGGCAGAGCAGCCCAGTCCCAGGATGATGGATCCGCGGAGCCGGATCGATTCCTGCCCCCAGGGGAGTGGGGAGCATATTGTGGGGGAGGGAAGACGAGAGGCTTGGATGAGCCGGAGGCCCCGAGCTGAAAGAGCACTCCCTCTGCAGGGGAACCCGAGGCTTCAGGCGGTGCCGGCTGTGGGGACTGTGGATGGTGGCTGGGGAAGAGACCAGAGGAAGGGGACTGGCATCAAGTAGGTGTGTGCCCTCGAATCTCTTGAGGAGGAAAGGGGAAGGAAGAGGTGATGGTTCCATGTTATGCGCCCAGCTCCAGGGCTGCCAGTCTGGGCGCGGGGGGAGGAAGTGCCCGCCAGTAGCGGGTTCTGGTTCTCCCTTATTGATCCCCAAGCCGCAGGGGGTTGGCGACAACCCCCTTGGGAGCCTTCCGCAGTTCTGAGAAATTGTTTCCGTGGGAAAGGTAAGTCAAGGCAGGGTAAACAGTTTAGGATTGGCTAGATTGAATAACTCGGTATGATATGGGACATAGTGGCTGTCCCTAGTTGTCTGGTATCTGACCCTGGTGATTTAGGGCAGGGGAAATACGGGTTGGTGTATCAGGTAAGGAGGTAGGTGGGTGGGCATATGGACTCAGAATTGGTTGGTTTGCATCTGAAAGGCCTATTAGCAGGCAAATTGTTTACTATCTCTAGGAATTAGCTAGCTGGGGAGCAGGGGCAGTCTCCTCAGCTAGCAAGTTCCCCACCCCCAGATGTCAAATCATAGAACACAGAAAATAAAAACCAGGTGTGATAATACAGGTGTGAATTGCATCAAGTGTTTTTACAAACATTTATGAAGATCATGTGACTTTTCTTTTTCAGTCCATCAATATGATTGACTACTTTGACAGACTTTCTTGAGCATAAAACCAACCTTGCATTCCTGGAATAAATCCAGCTCTCCCTTATTTTACTGCTCCAATCTTTTTAAAAGAAGTGAGGACAATCATGCTGGGGAAGCGATGGACCTTTCTCCCTGGGAAATGCCCAGGCTGGCTAATTTGAGACAGAAGAAGGTGCATTGGCCCCCAGCTCAACCCTGGCTCTGCAACTCTCAGAGGTTGGGTCACGTGAGTTTGCTCCTTAGTGACTTACAGGTAGACCCTACACTATCGGGAGTTGTCACACAAAGGAAACTTTATTTGCAGCAAATAAGGAGATCGTGGGGAATAACTTCTAAAGCCATGACTCCCCAAGTGGGGGTGGGTGGGTTTCCTTTATTTAGGGTTAGGATGAATATTCAGAAAGAGGAGTTTTGTTCCCACGTGTAGGCATGTAGAGGACAGGCATAATGTGTCGGTGTACTTAGAAAACATGACTATACTGTGTCCTATGTTATGCTAATGAAGCCTGTGCTCCTCCTGGGAGGGGGGAGAGTGTAACATTATAATGAGGTAGAGGTCACTGCCATATACTCCATGGTCCATCTGCACAGGTGTGAATCAGTGGTGGAGCTCAAACTGGTCTAGGCTGGCTGGAGCTCCTGGCTGTCACTGGGAGTCTTGCTGGTGACAGTTTTAACGTCATTAATCCTTTGGGGCAGTTTCACAAACTGACTAGAGGCTTTCCATCAGGATGTGGGGCTGGTGCAGTACCCATAGCCAGTTGTCCCAGCCTCTGGCCCTCCTACCTCTGTCTCTGCACCTCCACCCCTGCCTCTCCTGGGAAATGGACCCAGAGCCACTCTAAAGCCCCTGAGATTTAGGTTTGAATCCTGCTCCAAGGTCATACCTTGGCTGGTTAGGGCTCCATCAGGTATTTTAGAGGACTGGGGATGCCACCTGGATGGCTGTGAGACAGAGAAACTAAAGGGACCCCATGAAAAACCACTTTTTTCACTCCTTTTCCTGTTTCTATTCTTGATAGGACCCACACCTCTGCCTTATACACACCTTATAAGACAGATAATGTATGTTCTCCTTGTGAAGGTCAAGGAGTTAATTATTTCTTTGGAGTCTTCTAGCACAACAGATAACATCTAAGGAGTGAAACTGTGCCCCAAGGGGAGTCGTCATGAATGTTTTCCAAGACCACTGACTCATCAAGACCCCTGGCTTCAGGGCATAAGCGACTTATGGGGAACCTTTAAACATTCCTCTGTGTTCTGGATGCCTGAGAAGACACATGCATGGAACCACCTCAATAAAACCCTAGGCCCCAAGCAAAGACAAGACTCACTCTTCTTTCCCTTCTGTCTACCGGACATTCTGTCCATAACTACTCTATGTCTTCAACAAACTCTGCTCTCACTTCCTCTCTGCTCATGTTTGGTTTCTATGCTGCACGAAGCCAAGGACCCTCTTGGCTGGTCCTGTGAGACCCCCTCTGGGTCCAACCTGCATCAGCTGCATTCGTGCACATGGAAACATCTGGCTCTCCACAGCCCAGGTGCTATGGAAGGTCTCCAGGTTTCTTCTCACAGTCTAGGGATGATCAGACAGACCCTCCTGGGTGCAAAAAGTCCAGTTGCCCCCGCCTGTGAATTCTGTTATATGACCCTGAGCATGAGGGCTGGTGGGTCCCCCATGCTTCCATAGCTCCAGCCCCTCCCCGTCTCTCCAACCCATCCCCACCACCTGGGAAAGACCAGAGCCCTGCCCCTGATCCCAGCTGGGAAAGACTGCGTTGGGACCCGGCAAGCTGTCCTTGGTCTGTGATTGAAACTCAAGGTAATTTTCACATGACTGAATTCCTTGCACTTGTGAGGGAACTGGGGAGAGGGGAGAATTGCAGTCTGTGCATCTCTAATGAACTCAGAAGCCCAGAATCAGGAGGCAAGGGATTTCACTCCTTTATATTTAATTCACATCTGCACCCACTCTGGGAAGGTCCAAGGAGTCAGATCCAAGGACCACATCCACTCCAGGGGACCAGGCAATTGGGCAGTCCTAGTCTCCTCAAAATAGTTAGGAAATATGCTCACCCATGGCGGGGGGGGGCGGGGGCGGTAGAGGGCATCTGAGTGTGCTGTGTGAGAACCCTGAATTGCAGGAATGACTCCCCAGAGCTATGCTATTCCTGCCGTGCATCCATGGACTAGAAACACACTAAAATCCCATAATGCAAAAGCAACTCAGGTCCACAATCTGTGTGGAAGGGACTAGATTCAGAACCCTTCCTGAGCAACTCTAATGCCTCACCTTCTCCTGGTCCCAGGCTGTGGGTCTTCCCTGGCAGCTGCAGGTCCAGCACAGGGATTTCGTCTTTGGGTCCCCCCGGAATTAGGCCCTGAAATCTGAGTTGTGCTAACTGCTTGCCTTAAGGTTAAGGCCTGAGCACCTGAAACCATTACTTCTATTCACCTGGGCTTGTAAAAAGCTTTGTGCCCAATATGGGGCTCAGACCCACAACCCTGAGATTAAGAGTCTCATGCTCTACCGACTAAGCTAGCCAGGCACACTACCTTTATTCTCCTTCAAAGGGAAAGGTGGGCAGTGCTGGGGCAAGAAGCCCTCTCTCCCACTGAACTTCCCCATGATCAGTGCTGTTTCCAATAGGATTTCCCCTGCCTGAAACTGTCTGAGAACCTCAGAATTGAAAGCTGTGAGGGGGTGGGACCACCTGGCCTGAAATTCTGGGACATGGGCATGAAAGGAGGCACGCTGACACAGAGGGACAACAGAAGGAGGTCCAGGGGCCCAGTGGCACTGGGAAGCCGGTTCCTGGGTGGCACCGAGTCCCCAAAACTCCACAAGCCCTTTGTCCAGGACCCCACACACTGGCGAGGGCAGTGCTAAAGCGCCTTCTTCCCTCCCAGCTCTGGGATGGAACCAAGGCTTCCCCACAACCGTCCCACGCCTCAGGTGGGACTCGGGAAGCTCTGCACCCTCTTCCAGACTGGGAGGACAGGGTAGTGGAGGTCAAGGTCACTAGAGGTAAGTGGAACAAGGTGCCCTTCTCTATAGTGGTCCCCAGAGTATGAGTCCCCCTGGGCCTCTGGATCCAAATCCAGGAGGAGTCTTACTTTCAAACTCCCAACGTCTCCTCCCCCGTCTCTACTCCGCATACCCTCCACCCCACCCCACGCCTGGCTTTGGGGCGGGCAGTGGAGCGTGAACCAGGAAGACCCAGAGGACCTGCTGCAGGGGAGGCCCCCAGTGCCCTGGGGCGGAGTGGGGGGGGTTACTGCGCAAGGTCCGGTTGGAGCCACCTCTTCCTTTCCAGTCGGTTTCCAGAATGACCGCCCATCCATGAGGGAAAATGGGCGCGGCGCCTCGAGGCCCCACGCAACCATCCAGCCAGGGATGCCACCGCGGGGGGAGGGTTGCCGGACTGTGCCCAATGCCGGGACAAAGAAAGGGCTTTCGGGGGACCCAGAGCCGCTCAGGGGCTTTGGGGGCTGAGCCCACAAGAGGATGGGCTTGGCTGAAGCCAGGAGCCTCTGAGTCTGCCCCGGACCCTAGTCCCCCTTTCTGTGAGCGGAGGAGACACAGCTTTGGCGCGAGGCTCACAGCCCGGGCTTCCCCATGGGAGGGCGGGACCGCCCTAGTCTCCGGTTTGAGTCCCCCAGGGAACCTCCACGCGGTCCTGGAGCCACCCCCGCCCCCCAGCTCCAAGGCGGCCCAAGTTCCTGAGCCTCGGCCCTGGAGGGAGTTCCTGGTGACAGAGGCTCTGGGGATAACTGATCCTTGGGACTCTGGGCCTGGCAGTATCGAACCTAGCTCTTTTCTGGAAGGTGAACGGAATCCTCCCGCCACCAGGTGGGCATCTGACACACTGCTGTCCCTGGGCCAGGGGAAAGCAAGTGGACAGAATCAAAAAGAGAGAATGGGGTCAGTTTGGATCTTTGGTTTAGGGGTATGATTCTCACTTTGGGTGCGAGAGGTCCCGAGTTCAAATCCTGGACGAGCCCTTTCTGGTTCTTTTTCTTTTCCAGATGGTCAGGTTGTTGCCCCCTGAGGGGGCCAAAGTCCACCCAAGGCCAGGAAGGAACAGGGACCCAGAGACCCATCATTACACATGATGGGGATTAAAACCCCCTCCAGTCTGCAGAGCAGGCCTGGGCCTGCACTTGCCCTCTGCTTAGACTGTCCCTGTGTCCTCCCCTCCCTACCCCTACCCTCATCCCCACCATTTGGCATGGAGCATGGGCAGGGGAGGAAAGACAGATGATGTTTCCCTTGACAGCGGATCCCAGCCCTCTGGGATGGAAGGAAGCTGCTGGGCACAGGGTGCCCAGCACTGGGAGCATCTCCAGAGGATTGGTCTTAGAACAAGATCCAGAGTCGGCATCCCGGACTGCAGATATGAGGGCACACTCGTCCTTGGCCAAGCCCTGTCTCACCCACGAAGGGATATTGAGTTAGTATGTCAGACAAGTGAGGGAGAGAAGTTAGAGCCACCAAGGATCACCAACTAAAGGCACTTTTTTTTGGCCTAAGGATGTTTTTCTTGTTTTAGATGTGAGAGGTCCTGAATTCAATCTGAAGAGGCCTCCTTTGCTGAAGTAGGCAGCGTGGGGCCTAGCTGTGGTGTGTTTTCAGACCAAGAGGGAGGAATACCTGGGGTTTTGAGCCCTCAGTATTGGGGATGGCTAAGCGGTTGGCCTGGGTCAAGGTGTCACTCAGACATTGGCAGGACCCTCAAGTGGGACTGGGCTCAGGGTGCAGCCACTTCCAAAACAATCACCCTAAACCTCCGCCCAAGGAACCACCAGCATGAGCTTGCTCGGATGCCGGCTACTTCTGTTCCTAAAGCACACAACCTCTGTCCTCAAGGTGATGCTTTTGGCTTGGTTCTGTGGTTCCCAAACTGTGTCCGGAGGTACCTTTATAGTATTTTAAAATTCCCAGGGATATCTTAAAGTTTTGAGGGAAACAGCAATACTCATCCATCAGACACTGTATTCTGTGAACTACTAGCTCAAGGCAGTTGAGTTTCAACTTTTGACAAT